TTCCTTCTTGCCATTTATGGTGAAAAATATGAGGCCAGAGCACGCAAATGTTTTGCTTCTTGTTTCAGATCACAACCCAGTTCATTTTCTTGCAATGAGAGGAGGGGTTAGAAGATAATTAGCAATGTTCTTCCCCCACTTTTAACAACATCTCTGCTTACTTTATAGAGATATTTCTGAACGTTACTGCTTACTCTGAAAAATTCAATATGTAATTTTAGTGCTGTTTCAGGCTTTTCAAAGTCTCATGTGTTTCTGGGGCATTGCTAATAGTTTACCTTAGAATGCAGAAAAACTACTGTAAAGGATACTTCAGTATTAAAGCATAATCTTCTCTAGGAAACCACATCACTAAAATGCCATTATTAAAGGCTGGGGAGGGGGAGGCAGAGGGAAGGTTAGACAGTGATTTAGAAATATCAACATTTGGCGTCAAGGCATTAATGCCTTTATACCTGGTGGCCTGTAGGGTGAATGGAACCATGTCAGTCACTGAGAGCTTTATATTAATCTTCTCCTGCACTGTCTAATTTATGTTGATTCAAAATTAGATTTAATTGCAATGTTCACATTTACTCCTCCAGGACCAGAAACACTAACCAATAATAACCTTTATTATCTCCTCTGGTGAAGGCCACATTTGGTAACAGGTAAATCTTTTGGAAAAGCCTGTCTCCCTACCTCCCTCTTTTTTGGGATCCCAGGCAAAATAATGCATTCCATGAACTCGCTCTTCATGTTTTTTGGGGTCTCGCTTACTCTCTGTGTCTCCCTTGCCCTAGTCCAGTTGCTAGAGGTGTGTGCTCCTAGGATAGATATCTGTTCAGTGAGTTCACATCCTGTTGTTGATGGCTCTAAGATGCTGATATTCCTGGGGGTATTTTAAGGGGACTCCATGCCTAGCATAATGCCTTATCCAAAGGAACCCATTGGTAGATGTTCCAACCCTGGGGCAGCTACATAGGGGAGAAATCATTTTGAGCAATTTTATCTTTCTAGGGTCACTCAGGTTCTGCCTATTTCACTTATAAACAAGGCTGGTCATGGGTATGGGGACATCCTTTGGGGATTTTATACACATTTCTTGTGACTCCTATTAAAGATGGAATTTTCCATGGAAGCAGTACCTCAAGGGTCTCTTTGTTCCAGACCCAAACGTAATGGAAGGATCTTTCCACTTCTCACTGTGGGTATTTGCAGTGTAAATGTTGGTGACTTGGCACTGTGCTGAGATGACCATTTTCCTGATGTACCTTATAGGATAAGGGCTCATTTTAGGATAGAACTTGGTCTTCTCTGAGGGGTGGGCAGCCCAGAAGTCACCATTGGGAGCATGCAGGTCCTTAGACAGGAAACCAGACTCTGGAAGTCTGATTTCCATCTCTGGGCCTCAATTTTGTGAGTTTGGACTTCAGGGAGTTTGAGAGCATTCCAGGGGCTGTTTACGTCTGCTCCATTTAATTGGTTTTCCTACTCAGCTCAGACTGTTCAGTGACATTGGAAGTTCACTGTTTACCTAGGCACTTTCTTCCTTAATCCTGGGGCTGCTCAATCAGAAATTACAACCCAGCCTGGGAAATGATGGGTTGAAAGGGGGCGTGAGGAAACTCCCCGAGGTACTGCTGGTGGGATAGCTGCCCAAGTGTGTTCAGTCCAGGGATGGGACTATGAACTCACTACACCTGGTGCTGTTTCAGGAGAAACATAGCCCCTTTCATTTTTTTCATCATCATAAATGACTTTCCCTAACAACTGACAGCCTTACTGTCTGCCTTCAGGTTACAGTGTAGGCACTGGCTGGCAGGAGCTTTCACAGGATGGTGGCTTATGGTATACAAATTTCTAACCCTGGGAACCACCTGTTCAGCAGTCTAAGATTCCAGTCTTTTCTTAGTCCATGGGGAGAGTCCTCTCAGGCATGGGCTCAATCATTTCTGGCCTAGAACTGACCATTTTCTACTTCAATCCCTGTTTCTGGACCATTTTGAGTAGAAACTCTACTAGGGTGTAGTATATCCTTTTCTTTGTTCAAAATCTTCTTCCTCCTGAGTATACCCCTTCTCCCTAAAAAATCTTACCAGTCCCTTGAGGCCCTATTTAGGTCCTGCTCTTCCGTGGAGCCATCCTTGGTCTTTCCCTCCCCAGAACTCAAAGCTATTTTCCCAGTGATCTTTTGGCAATGAATCACCCACACGCCTTATGACTTACTCCAGTAATCAATTTATGGTGATCATGATGCCCACTTCACTTCAGCCTCACTAGTTTTGATATATGGCAGACATTTCTGTCTGCATGATGAGTCTCTGAAATATTAACTCTATTCTGCACAGTAGCTTTGATTTGGACAGATTTTTAAAATCTATCACCCATATCAATCTGCTTCCCATGAAGGAAATTTGGTTGACCTTCAGAGGATGAAGATTACTGACCCTCTCTAGAAGCCAGTGGAAGTGAATTCACCATCGGATTTTTAAAGTAAAAATAGAAGATAATTAAATGCAGCACAGTCGTTATAAAATGGATCTCATGGTGTTCTACACCACTTCATAAAATTCTTCCCATTCTTCCACATGACTTTCTCTGCAGCATTTTAACACAGAATACTGACTCCCTGACAACTTAAGCAAGAAATATTTGGGTTTACTTTTTAATAAGCACTTGCCCTAAGAATAAGGTGAAAATCAAACATTCTCAGATGGGAAGGCTGGCTGGATGAAATGATGTGCCATCAGATTAAAGCACACAACCTTCCAGGTACCATGAGATGAAACAAACGAGCCTTAAAAATTTACCAAGGAGACCATCTTCTTCTTCAGAAAATAAATGTATTACTTAGCCAGAACCAATATGTTTCATGTGTGTGAATAGTTTTGAATATTGTGAAGTTCTTGAGTCCCAAACAGCCAAACCAACCAGAGGGCTACCCATCTTGTTAGTAGTGGCTTTTATCACTTGGCATCTGGAAACTTCTTTTATTTTGCTGGATCTGGCCCAAAAGTATGGGTGGAGACACAGGGCAGCACTTAACAACCTTATTTATGACTTAATGACTTAACTAAGAAAAAAAAAAGTTCAATCACTTCATATTAGTTGGGTGGACTCATTCTAACGTTAAAGAATTTTATTAGGCCTGCTAAATTTGGGACAAGGTTGGGAACATAATTTCCAAAGAAACCCTTATTGGAGAGAAATCATCATGCTAACTTATTCTATTGTGTTGATGTATTTCACAGTAAAATTGAGTCCCACCAGGTTCCATATTAGAAGGCTCAGAACCATGTCCTAATATATAATTTTCTTCACTGTTTAAAAATATTTATCTAGTTAATTCATGGACTCATGGACTTCTTCCATACCATGACTTCAAGTGGTTTTGCAGGGAGACTTGAGAAAAAAATGGTAACTTTCAGTAACATAAAAAATAGACTGACTCTGGAAACCTAGGTTCTCTTTTATGTTCAACCAGTTTAGTCTTTTGTTTGTGACTTGGACTCACTAAAATGTGATAATTAATGGTTTTACATTTGTGAAGAGTTAAGGGGAAAGATCACCCACAGGAACCTTGCCTACTACAACAAGAAGTATCTCTACTTATATACAAATTGAATGATCTTTTCTGGTTGTTGGGACAGCAGTGGCTTGCCATTCTGAATTTGCAGTGTACGTCTTGACAAATGAGGTTAAAAGTAGAAGGCTGAGAACATCAGTTGAAGTCGGAAGTCTTTTTGCAGGAGAAAGCCCCCATCAGCTCTGCACCTGCTCCCTGGGGAAGGAACTGAGTATCAGAAGGGCTGCCACAGGAGAAATGACTCAACAATGTCATTCACAAGCCGGATGTGGCTTTGTTTCCTTTCTAACGGGCATGTTTGTTGCCATTTCAGTGAAACCTAACCTAATGGGGTGGCTGTATGTGAGAGGGCTCAGAAAGTCTAAGGGGTAAATACCTACATGCATTATTGCTTAAATTCTATCAAATAAACCCAATACTGGCAGAGCTGTTCTCTGTACTCGTCACAGAGGGAGCAGACAAAATGTGTAGACATTCCATATCATTTCACCTAACAGTTTAATCTCTTCCTTGAGGTCATGCTGCAGGTGAAGAGTAAAATGAGAGAATATGATCAATAAAAGTTAAGATAACAGGTTAAAAGAGTCTTGTTAAAAATGAGATATAGGAATGACTCTTCCTCATTCACAAGGTTTAGAAGAGGCTGGGAAGTCTGTTTGGAACTATGAACTGTGAGTGGAGTGTGGTAGAGCAGGAAAAGAACACTGGAAAATCATGGCATAGAAATACAGCTGGGAAATTAGGGCAGGAACTCAGTGCTGTAAGGGAGCCTGCTGCCTCTTCTACTTGGTTAGTCATTCTGTGTTTCACCTGCAGTTCAAAGGTATTTCAGATGACTAAGATGATGGAATTGCAACAATTCTCGACGCGGTGAGAGAATCACTGAAGTGTCTGGAAGAGGAGGTCATTTCAGGGATACATTTCAAGGAGAAATGAGTTATTGTGTGCAAGTGTTTGTCTTTGAGGGGAGAGGGCTGGTTGACAACAGGACAGAAATCAGTGTGTACACTTCCTTTCCCTGTTTACTTTACCGACATCCTCAGGACATCTCTGGCTCCTTGTGGGGGGAGTGGTCTCTGCTGCCCTCTTTTTGGCCTCCTTAATCTTGTCTATGTGGCACCTGCAGCATGGAAACATCTGTCCTATAGGGATGGGACTGAGGTTGCATAAGTTTGCTATGTTAAAGTGAAGGACGAGAGTCACAGAAGTGCGTTTTTGAGAGGCTCGCATCAGTGCTGACTTAAAAAAAAATTCTCACATGTTCATCTTTCCCTAAAATTAAGGGGCCTTGTTTCCGGAATCTCAAACCTTTGGGAAATAATCAAAATTATTGAGTGAGTGGAGATCATCTCTTACCTTATTTTAAAGGCTCAGGTACACTTTAGAGAAGCAGTTTTTCTAGCCCTGGACTTAAAAGAAAATATAACTATTATCTTATGTTTCTGTTTATTATTATAACCAAGAAAATTGATTTTAACATTTACTCTTTATTGTGTTGTATGAAGTACCTATGTAATGCAAGTATGCACTGTACTAAAATACCCATATTTCCAAGTAACATTATGTGGTGTAGCCCACAGTCTCTGCAGAAGCATTGTGAGTAACCTGTGCCTTTACAATCCGTTGTTGGCTGCCGTGAAAAGTATGATAACAGATGAAGGAAAAAAAAAAAAAAGCTAAGTATGAATACACTTTTCCAAGCATACACAGCTTACAATGGAACCCCAATGGAAAAAGTCAAATGACCACATTTGATGTAGTATCTATAAAATGTAGACTCTGCAATAAAAAGCCAAAGGCACATAAAAATATATTTTAACTTTAAAAATAACTTAGTTACAGTAATACTTTGCTTGTGTCTTACCAACATGTAGCTGACAGTCAAAAATTCGCAATATAGATATAATATATAGGGATATATAAGAGCTACAAGAAAATCCCCAAAACCCATAGTTGTTCAAATGTGAAAACAGAGAAGTTTTTAACACTGAAGATTTGCCATGGTGAGCCCAAACAACATAATATAGAAAAGAGTCTAGAAAAAAGGCTTAGGTGTTAAATAAATTTTGACTTCCTCTTGCTTAGAATAGGCTGAAATGCCAGAGTACTGTAAAGGTCCTTAATGTGACTGGCACAGCCCTTCGCAGCTAAGCAGTGCCAATCCTGGCCAAGCCAGATTTCTTACGTGTCTGGAAACAAAAAATGTGAGCTGTACACCAGAATGCCGCCAAAAATTGGTCTGACTCACTTCCTCTCTTTGCCAGGACAGGTTTCTTTCTTTTTCTTTTTAACTGTTTTTGCAAAACAGGGCATAACAGGTAAAAAAATATTTTGTAGGAAAGTTATTTTAGAAAACCCATCACACGATGGCAAACAGAGCCAGGGAAACTCTTCTCTTTGTGGTTAGTTTTGTTTTGTTTGGATACCTTTTACCCCAAAGGAAAAGAGCCGGCGGTGTGCTGGTTACTTATTTTTATCCATGACATTCAGCACCTCATCCAGAAATGAGGGCCCAAGATCAAGCTGCAGGGAGAGGAGGGAACCTGTGAGATCAGAGAGGGACTCCTCTGATTTACTCTTTTCCTTGACGAGCTCACATGGGGCGGGATGGTCAAACATGTCCTCTGCCGCCCAGTCGGGGTACTGTTCGGAGAGGCTGGAAGAGTGGCTGTCCCTGCCCTGGCTGGACTGGGATGCGGACCCGCTGGAGCCCCACGAGACATCCCCCTGGTGGACTGTCCCATTCTCCAACAGGCTGCTTTTCTCTGGGGCCTTCTCCTCCATGACTGGCTCACAGCTAAGCCGGGGCAGCTTTCCCGGCCCAAAGGACTCCTGTTTGGAATTGAATGTCACCGGTGACAATAATGGCAACATGAGTGCTTGGGACCCTCCAATGGTCGGGAGGGAGATGGCGTTTTTGAGCACCGGGGAGGGCGTTTCTGTGAACATGGAATCGGAGGTGCTGTTAGCCCGGAAGAACTCATTATGCCCAGGGAACTGGCCCATGCGTGCTTTCTCCTGGTTTCCAGGTAGAAGCTCATAGTTCCCTTGAAGAAAGGAAATGTCTCCAAAGACGTCATGCTGGCCCTCCTTGCCGATGTGAATGGTGTGGCGGAAGTCTCCAAGGGGAGGACTGATCATATCAGGAGACAAGATGTCCCTCAATTTAAATTTCTTTCCTTTCTTGTTATTGGCAGCTTTCAGGTAAATTGGGGTCTTGGCTGGCATTTTGGAATTTGAGAATGTCGATTCTACAAAAGGGAAAAAGGGCCACTTTCTTCGTGGATGTTATATGTTTCCCAATATCCTTTTTGATAGGAACTGTCACATCATTTTTCTCAAGTAGCTTCAGATGTGGCTCTGAAAAGAGACAGAGGTCTAAGAGGTCCTCCTGGACTTATAGCCAAGCAGGGCTTTCTGGAGAGCGGTTTACATCATCCAATCCCTTCCACAGCATGGAGAAACCTGGAAGAGAAACCGAAGCAGGTTATAATTAGCTGACCCTTCAGGGAATCACTTGGGTCCAACTTTTTCACAAGCACCTGTAAATAATGGCAGGGCCAGTTCCCATCTGAAGCCAAGTTTTATTTTGTTGTTTCCCCCTATTAAGTAGGATTAAAAAGTTTAATCTTAACAAGGGTCCACTAATCTTAGACTTGCTTCAGGAGGTAAAAGAAAAAAAAGAGAGAGATTAAAAAAACCACAAACTTATGACATAAGCACTTTTAAAACATGGCCATGGACAGTTTTCTGGACATGTCTAAGATTTTAGTCTTTTTCCTCTGTTAGAAGAACTGCTGTCAGCACATAACCAGAGTGATTTCAGCTCCTTAGATACAACTGGATTTGTTTTAAGATATATTTTCTCTTTTGCTTTGGCCTTCACACCAGAAGACTAGGACTATTTTATTGTTGAGTTTCTTTATATAAATAAAATTAATGCAATCCGATGAGTAGTCGTGTAAGTAAAGGAGCTGGAAATTTCATTTAGTAAATGACAGTGACCAACATACTAGTGTCCAACAAAATCTCAGTGAAATGCATTCTTACAGATGAGAAAACTGAGATTCAGGAGTCAAGGAGTCAAAAAAACCCAAGAAAACCCAACCCCTCTCAATAACATACAGGCAGCAGGAACTGGAATCTGGAATCAAGCTGGGGCAGAGAGAACTGGGATGTCAAAAATTTAGGGATTTGGAGGCATTCTGAAATGGAAGGAAAAGAACAAAACCACTTCTTTTTCAAATAAGTTGGGTCTTCACCCAGGAATCCTTTGGAAACATCTGCTGATAAGCTTGTACCCTTCTCCCTGTGCTGGGCAGGATTCCAAGGTGACCCCAGGGAGTGGCCTCCTAGTGTAATTAATGCCTTTGTGGGTGAAACTGTGACTTGCTTCTGACCAAGGTGATGAGATGTCACAACCCTGACTAGTTTACATTATAAAAGATTCCACCTTAGCAGACTGGGATGAGACTTCCTTTACTGGTTTTGAAAAGTAAGCCACTATGGTGACAGGTGAATTCTGCCAATAACCGGAGGGAACCTAGAAGTGCATCTTTCCCCAGTTGAGCTTCTGGTGAGACCAGAGCTCCAACCCCTAGTTTACAGCCTGATAAGACCATGGAGCTAAGCCCTGGCAGAACTCCTGGCCTGCAGACACTATGAGACAATACATGGGTGGGGCTGTGAGCCACTAGTTTGTAATTTGTTACCTGAGAAGACGACTAACACACCCTCCCTGCACATGCTGTGCGACAGGATTAGAAGTGATGAGCTATAAAGTTTGGGGGTTCTCATCTTATAGATGAGAAACTCTTCATCTCTTGAAAACAATCCTTCAACTCTTTAGTCACATCAGCTGATGTGGAGAAGCTAAAACCTTCCCCACTGTGGGAATTCCTGACATGACTCTGCTGTGACCTCTCCCACTGGGCTCTCCTCCCCCTGGCCACAGAGCAAATACATAAGTAAATACTCTGAGGGCTGGGTTAGATGGTGGCTTGAGGAGAGCCACATTTGCTTTGTAGCAGCTGGAGGCCGTCTGCATCTGCCCTGTGCCCCAGATTTCTTTCCTTTCAGCAAGAGTTTTAAATTCATTTGCCCGTAATAGGTGGCAAGAACTGTCCTTCAGCACCCACTGGCAAGGTAACAACTGGCTCTGTTTGGGAAGTGGCAGGGACCCAGGCCTGTAAAGGCAGAGTATAAGCTGGTGAGACTGCCCTACCGTGACTTTGGGAGTGGGTAGGAGGCCAGGGTGGCATGAGGGTTTGCACCCAGAGTAGGCTACTCTGGAAGCTGCCAGATAGACTACACACTCCAAGGAGGAACCCATCGAGACTGCCTTCCCACTTCAGATGAGGAAGGCACAGAGATACTGTTAAAGGAGATGCCTGATACTGAGCAAGTAGATGGGAAACCCTAGAACAGAAGACATGCTTGTGGGTCCATCATTCTCATAGTTTTCACTTGTATATGGGTCTTATAATAGTAACAAAAGTGGAAGCCCTGGGTCTTCCTGCTAGAACATCAGAACATCTTTCCTCTCTAAGTGCACAAAAGCCCAGGGTGGCTGGCATCACTGTCCTGTCCCTGTGGGTACAAGCATGATGACTGCCTGCAGGAGCAGCTGGGGCACTAGGCCCACAGAAGGTGGAGGGTAGTAGCTCCGGGGAACAGCTGCCCACTAGAGCAGTGTTGTCGGCACATATGGCCAGGAGGGCAGCTGCCATGGAAAGATACAGTGTGTCCACCACAGTGCCAGGGCCTGCGAGGGCTGTGTGTGGTCAGCTGGTGGAACCAGGGTTATGCAAGGCCAGAACCAAGGCAAGGCATTCATTTGAGAGTCTTTGGAAAATTAAAAATACCATGAAGATGCAACCAGAGAGTGCTTCTCTGCCCCTCTGACTGGATCACTCACATTCACCCTTTATGCCTACAGTGACTGGGAATATGGGGAGCAAAAGCGAGGAGGAAAGGTAGAGGATAGGCTTGCTACACTTGAAGAATCCAGGGGAGGAACGCCCAGTCCTCAGTCCCTGCTGGGCCACGGCCACAGGCACTGCAGGCCCCTCGCCGGAGGTTTGCTCAGCCTGGTAGAATTTGGGTTTTATGTCAGGCGAGTGGATACAGACGTGGGAGAGAAGCAACAAAAAACTGGAGAAAAATAAGAAAAGGGTTGCTGGGTAGAGGCTAGATAAGTTGCAGGCACAGAGATTCTCCAGAGTGGGAAAAGAAAGGAGATACCTTAAAAGGCATTTTTCTTATCTTTCTACAAATATTTACATAGTATTTACTACCACACAGGGATGGAGGCTTCTAGGACTTTGGAAACAATAATTTGTATCGAGTTTCTACCATGTGCCAGGGCTAAGAGCTCCCCAATACACTGGAAGTGTAGAGGAGGGGAGGAATTTGGTGCAAAAATGTCGGTTTTATAACTTTAGACGAGTTGGTGTTTGTGGTATGAGGCTGGGGAAATATCTGAGAGCTCTGACCTGTCGTTTGTCTTATCTGTCATCTTTCTGCCTCCAACTCAGGGGCAACATGCTTTATCCTAGGAGAGACAATCCAATACTGACAACTTGACCCTGACCACTTCCTCCCCATCCTTCTGAATATTCTGGGCTCCTAGGCTTATAAGCCAATGGACAGCCATGCCCAGACTGAATGCTCTCAACATCTTCTCTGTAGCTAATGCAGGAACCTACAGGGCAGTTGCATCACTGGGAACAAAATGGCTGGTCCTGGAGAGGGTATGTATATGTCTCCCAGGAGCCACCAAAACGCTTCTTATGATAGGAAGTGTTTACTGAGAGCGTCTCTATGTGCCGGGCACTGTTCCAGCCTTTGATGTGTACTAGCTCACTCACAAGAACCCATGTTAACATCCCCATTTTACCAGTGAGGCACCAGCTTTGCCAAGGCTGCACAGTACCAGGCACTGTGCCAGGTGGCCAGGCTCAGGCTCCAGACATTGAGGTCTTAACATTTAAGGAGCACACTCCCTGGGAACTCAGCTCCCAAATGTGAAAGGAGTGCCTTACAAAGTCTGTTTAAGATGCAAATGTGTGATAACACGCAGGGCTGGCAAGGGTCGGGGAGCCCGCACAGGTCCAACCTCAGTGGAAAGTGGTATCTATCAGAACTACAGACCACATGCCTTTGGCCCCAGAATTTCACTTACAGAGATTTATCCAATTTATATATATGGGAATAAGGAAATAATATATATATACAAGGTTGTCAATCCAGCATAGTTTGTAACAGCCAAGGGTTGGAACCAACCTAACTGTCCACCTTTAGAGGACTGGTTATATAACTTAAGGTGTATGCATACAAATGAATATTACACAGGTCTACAAATGGATGAAGCAGCTCTTTATATGCTAATACAGAAAGAGCTTCAAAGATGTATAGGAAAAAAAAGATAAGTGCCAAAGTGAGTAGATAATATTTGTGCTGGCTTGTATGTCTATAAACTACCTCTGGAAGCACACACAGGAGGGCACGGGGAGTGCCCACAGGGAGAGTAAGTAGATGGAAGGGGATGAGGGTAGAAGAGAAGTTTCTCACTGTATATCCTTTTATGATTCTGGATTTTTGAACCATGTGAATAATTAGCTGTTTTTCAGAAGTAAATTCATGGGTGGTTTAGGGCTCAGATTGGACTTTCCTGCAGAGACGGTTTTATACATACATAGATCCTGAAAAGCCTACTGAACCTATGAACTACTGATCATGATGCAAACATCATTATGGGACGGCATGTGGATACAAAGACCCTACGAGAGGGCTGAGCCTCACCTCCCCTGAGCCTGTTGAAGGGACAGGTCACTCCTTCCTGCAGTGACCAGGCCTTCACTGAAGAGGCTCCACCAGTCTGCATTTGCAGAGTGGAAAAGGTCTCAGAAGAGAAGAGTTTTTCGTCAGCAGGAAATGAGAAGAGGCAAGAGACCCAGGCTGCTGGGGCACCCACAGGGAGGGAAGCACAGGCAGGTGGAAGTGCTGGGACTTAGGGGTACAGCGCCTTGTTTGAGAGGTGGTGGGGGCACAGATGGGCAGCATTTTATAGTGGAATGGTCCTAAAGGCCACAACACGAAATCCTGTCCCTCCTCACCATGTTCTGAAAAGAAGACTTGGGCTCCCAAGGCTGCTGGCAGCTGACCCACGTGGCAGCAGACAGAGTGAGGGATGAATCAGAGGGAGAGCCTGAGTCAGGGGACACCCCAGAGGGGGAAGCAGGAGAAGAGCAAGCCCTCCTGGGTTTTCTAGGAGCCAAACGAAGAGCATTTCCAGCCTCTGTTATCAGTCAGGCCCCTACCACCATCAGAAACTCTGAACCAACCGTGCACTCAGGACTCTCCTGCTCTCCAGCTATCTTGCATTGCTATCATTCCTCCCCTCCCACCATCTCTGAAAAAAGAAGGGAGGGAAGGAGAATGGAAGGAAAGAAAAGAGAGAGAGA